TATACACACATGTATATATATATATATATGTATATATACACATACACATGTATATGCATATGTGTATATATATACCTGTATATAGGATATCGTTGCCGTGTAATTAAAAAAGAAAAAAAAGGGAAGAAAAAAAAGAGAAAAGAAAACATTCTTTCCCATTATGCGCGCGCGCGTGCATTTCACCAGCAACGCCTAAAAAAAAAAAAGAAAGTAATAGCAAGAATTTTCGATGAGCGCGAACTAAAAAACAGGTACAACTAAATTTTCATCTTTTTTTCCTTTTTATAATTTTACTCGATATCGCGGCCAGCCTGCTGCGCGGTGCACCTATCATCGACGACACGGGCGCGCAAAGACAAGACCACTCAGTGGCCAATTGCATAAACATCAAACAACAATGTTTCTCTTACTGCATTTTTTTTTCTTCGTATAATCATTCGTTGGTTTAACAACAAATTACTTTCGATATATATTATAAAAATAAGGTATCAAACTTTGCGCCGAGGTACACAGCCATTGTGACTACATGCTTAATTTAAAGTTGTCCCCTAAAGCCCAAGTTTTCCTCTCTATATCTCCCCAGCCCGGTTTAACCGGTCTCGCTTTGAATTCGTTTTACAAAGACACCGGTCCCCAGGATAGTCTCGAAGTACTCACTTTTGTACGCTATAATAATGATGCTGGATAATCCCTCCATCAAAGTCCTTTTTTTTCCTCCTTAATTTTGACGAGATTTAACTCTTTCGACCCCGAACCCTCCCACCCAACTATTATCAAAGAGACACACACACCCGCGGTCTCGTTACAAGAACAGAGGACACGATGTATCTGTTATCTTTTATTTATTTTTTTTTTATTATTATTATTATATCGTCGTGCGCTTCGTAAAAACGGGTGTACGGCTTAATTTTTATGCAAAAGGCCTTACATTTTGAAGAGCGTTGCCTGTACATACGTATATATAGATATATGCAAAATATAAATAAATTATCAAATATGAAAACGTTAACCCACCCCCCTTCTATACGTTTCGTGCATTTCGGGAAAGCATTAAATGACGTTTACATAGTTTTATTTTTTTTCTTTATCGCAAGAAGATTAATTATCTCTTAAAGGATATGACCAATGGTATATAAGCCTACATTTTCTGGTCATATTCTACATCCAGTAATGATTATATTCATGTACCATTGCTAAACAACTACGGCTACTTGAAAAAACTCGACTGGAATGTGCCTCGAAGATTAACGATGCCTATAATAATGAATTTTTCTCTGTTATCATTTTGTTTTCTTTTTTTTTTCTTTTTATTTCGTTTCTTTCTCGACAACGTCGTTCCCATTCAAACGATCGTCATCAATATCTCATCCTAGATAAAACCATAATATATTAATAATCACTGATTCTTCTGTTTCGATATCTGTGTCTTAGTTTGTTTGTTCTTTCTTTCTTTTTTTTTTTTTAGTTTTTTCCCACCCTTTTCGTTTTTTTTTTACTCTTTTTTTTTCGTTATGAACAACTCAAAACGATTTTTGCTTCGCTATGCGTCGAGCCGGCACCATTCCAGAAAAATAATAAATGACAAAGAAAAGAAGAAACATTACGTTACTTATATATTCAAAAAGAGACCCAACCGTCTACACAAACCGTAAATATTTAGTGGGTCCGATATAAACAGGAAAAAATCGATCTCTTACTTAGCCTGCACTCTTACCGACTTGTACCTTGAAAAGCGTCACTGCTGCACCGGTGTGGGCGGATAAGGGTAACTATACGGCGGCACCGCTTGGAACTGGCTGTATCCCATCGACTGATAGGCGCACGCCCCGGTGTTCGGCGGTGGACGATTCGTCTGGAAGAACTTGTTGTTAACAAGGCTCTGCATCCCAGAATCGGTGTGTCCACCGGATGGCAACATGAACGGAGGCGGCATCGAGTACACGCTTTGCCCTCCAGCTGTTTGATTAGCATTGTAAGCGCTCTGTCGGTTATGATAACGGCTGCCCTGGAAACCACCGGTTCTACCATGATATCTGGGTATATTTGCATTCTGATAACTAGCCTGATAGCCGTTACTGGTCTGACAGCCGTTAGTATAGCTGCCAGATTGCCGCTGATGTTGCTGCTGGTGCTGCTGGTGTTGTGGATGTTGCTGCTGCTGCTGTTGTTGCTGCTGCTGCTGTTGGTAGCTAGACTGGAAGCTGTTCTGACGAGTTGGCTGGTAGCCATTTTGTTGTCGGACAACAGTTCTCTCTTGATTACTGGCGGTACTGTGCTGGACACTTTGGACCTGATGATTCTGCCAGTTACTTCCAGTTGGGCTGCTATTGTTTCTTGGACTTCCAGTTGAATTGTTGTCCTTGTTGGAACGCGAGTGGCTCCAACGTTGACGACCCTTTCCGTACGCAGATTTAATTGAGTTTGCTAAGTCAGCTAATTGTGGATTTATCGCTTGTCCAGCTTCCTCTAAAACAGAGATCAGTTCCTTTGCTTGTCTAGCATTATTAGGCGTGAAATAAGCGTACGCTGTGCCCGCGCTCTGACAGCGACCGGTTCTTCCTATTCGGTGAATATAGTCCTCGGAACTGTTTGGATAATCGAAGTTGATCACATATTTCACGTCCTCTACGTCTAAGCCGCGAGCAGCAACATCAGTGGCAACGAGGATCATCGTCTTCCCGTTTCTGAATTCGGATAACACATAGTCTCTTTCAGGCTGTGACTTGTCCCCATGAATTGAGATGGCTGGCCAACCCTCCCGTTTGATAGTCTTCGTAATGTCGTCCACCTTCTTTTTCGTCTCGACGAAAATGATCATCTTGCCCCCACGGTCCTTGCCGATTTCCCTGAGAAGGCCCGACAGCTTCGCCTCTTTCTCGTGTTCCTGGCAAATTTCTACGATTTGACGGATATTGTGATTAGCGGCCAATGTTAATGAACCAATGTTGATTTGAATGTAATCTGTCAGGAAATCTTCGGCTAAAGCTTGCACCTCCTTTGGCCAGGTCGCGGACCACATTAACACCTGTCTGTCAGGTCTAATTTGTTCAATAATTTTTCGGATCTGCGGCTCAAATCCCATATCTAACATTCTGTCCGCCTCGTCCAAGACGAGGTACGTGCACCTGCGCAGATTCGTGGTCCCCTTCTCAAGGAAATCGATCAATCTGCCGGGAGTGGCGATGCATATCTCGACGCCACGTTCTAAGTCGCGAGCCTGAGGACCTTTCGGGGAACCACCGAATATGCAAGTGTTACGAATGCACGAGGAGGAACCAAAATCCCTAGCAACAGTCTGAATCTGCTGAGCTAACTCTCTTGTTGGGGCGAGTATCAAAACGATAGGACCGTCTCCTCGGTTCAAACGTGGTTGATTGTTAATGTGTACGGTTGCCGGTAAAATATACTGAAAAATATCCGTAACGGGATGCTTTTAACACTTATCTAATTACAGGTCCTTTGCCGAAACAAATGATCACTCTTTTGGGAATAAAAGTATTGATTTTGAACTTAAAAGAATTTGTATGCATTTATATACCAAAACCTTCATTCATTTTTTAATATCTAGTCATTATTAGTAGGTTAATGATGGTAACCACCATTGATATTTTTAAAAATGCTGGTTTGTAATGTTGAAAAGGAAGTTTGATTAAAATTTCAATATTAAATTTATGATGCCTTGGTGAATAAGAAGTTCAAATTATTATTCCTCTCAAAGAACTTAAATATTTTAAACATCCAAGATGATAAAGAAATTAAATTTTACTCTATATTAATTTTTCTAGATTTATAAATAATGAAGAATGACATATGGAAAGAATTATATTAAAATACGTACAGCTAGAGTTTTTCCAGATCCTGTTTGAGCAATTCCAACCAAGTCTCGTCCACTGAGTGCAATTGGCCAGCCCTGTGCCTGGATTGCTGTTGGCTCAGCAAAACCCTGCTTCCTGATCTCTTCCATCACATATTCTGGGAAGTTACTTTCTTCGAATGCTTGAATTGGAGAAGGTGTACTGTTTCCCTTTACAGTAATTTCTTTACCAATGTGGTATTTCGTTACTTCTTCTATTGATCTCTTCAAAACATTGATATGCGGAATATATAAATTTTTTGTGATCACTGGTAACTTGGCCAGATCCCAAGAAGGTTTCTTCAGTGAATCTCCAGGTGTTCTCCTCTGGACTTGCTTCTTAATGGGCTTATCCTTTTGCTGTTGACTATTCCAAAAAGTACCTCCTCCATTACGACTGCTAGAGTCCCTGTTACTCCTGGGTCTGTAACTAATTATTTTCACAAAATAATATTGACATACTTTTGACATATGTTTAATGTTTAATTCTGGGCATAAAACACTAAGTACTATTAACTTCTACACATAAATTACATCCAGAAAATATATTAAATATTCACAAATTAAAGACAATGTCAAGTATATATCATTTTTTAATATATTATAAACTATTCATATAGGTGACAAGGTAACAAGATGGCAGACAATTGTAAAGGTATCAAGTCATGTATTATATTTTTACAAAAATCATTTTTATGCCTCAATTTTATGCTTGTCAGTAGCTCTCCATTAGATAATAGCATCGCCATTTTAATTTTTCCGACACATTTCGTTTTATTCAAACATATTCGATCATGATACACAGAAATTCCGCTATATGGTATTTCAATTTCAGGAGCTGAATGTAAAATCCATAGAATGTAAAATCGTTAATTCGAAACGTAATTAAACAATTCGGCAAAAGTAGCGGTCGAGAGTGTCCATGAACAAAATGGTGGAGAACACGACATTGCAAAAAAAATTTCTCCAGTTTCAACGTTTAACAACGTATGGTATCGCCATATTGACCATTTAAAAGGTACAATATGATGCAACGTACCTGGTATGATTGGAATAACTATTGTTATACATCTTGGGAAAAGTTCGGAAGAATCTGCTGACACACTACCAGTCCCGTAGAAACGATCTTCGATTTTTCGGAAACTATGTCAGTTGTACCAGTTACACCTGCGATCAAGAATAATTGCTCGGAAAATCTTATATTATGAGTCAATAAAGATATATCTTTGTTTTGGAATAATTTTGTATCGAATGCCAAAAAAATTCGTGTTTAAAAGACAAAAATATCTGAACGGACTTACCCTGCAAGACCCGGCAAGCAGAGCAGTAATGGCTGACAGGCACTGGGAAGACGGAAACGGGCGACTGGGCAATGCTTCCGCTTCTAAATATACGCGTTACACGAACACATAGAAATGGAGCTCCTCATTGGTCAGTTCTTTTGTATACTCACGGTACCTACACGTCCTCCAATCGTGGCGCAGCGAGGTAAATCAATGAATTTAAGTGTACTGTATTTATCGAATGTAAAGGCAAATGTTCATGAAAACAGTCAGGGGAACATTAGGCAAGGAAACTATGAAAACAGTGAGATACATTTGTAACTTGTCTAAATTTTATAATAGGTTACAAACATTTTCAGTACTGAAAATGATCTTTTATCTGAATAGGTCAATGTTGTTTATAATTATGATATTTAATAATAATACAACTAAGGCCTCATTTTTATTTCCTTTATAATAATACATATAGTTTATTTTATTGATATTACATTTTATTTGAAATCGTACTTGATACATAGAAATGAATATACTGCAATACTCAAAACAAGTAACAATTTTATTATTATAATTCTTTTATAAAGCCTTTGATATACTTCTCTTAGTGTTTATAATTGTTGCGCGATATTATCATTTGTAAAATAACGTTAATTTGTCTTCGTCATTATAAAAACTGAAATTAAAATTATGGGCACAATATGTACTACTTAATAAATAATCATGTTGTCATAATAGTAGATAAAATAAAATAAAATGCGAAGCAAGAATTTAATAAGTAAGAATAATATAGCATTCAAAACCGAGTATCAATTTTAAACATTTTTTGTCGAAACGTATACATCCTCCCTTTTTTCATATGTGTAAACCCAGCTGACAATATGTGCGTATGCAGTACTTATAGAGAGTTCCATCCCCACTGCAAAAACAGCCAGTGGTGGGAACATCACTGAAGCAGGTTATAAACATTCTCTTAGCAGACACATCTTAATGGGTGGAAGGTTGTGTTTTTGTGCTTCCTGTCACATAAAGGAAAGGAGGGTTAACGCTCGGCTCGAAGCATCTCTTTCAGCTATTTACACTTAAATGCATAGTACTCTTTCGACGTAAGATGTGCAAAATTAATTTGTTTCCAACATGAGTAGCATATACAGTATGATTTATGTAAAACGCATTCGTAAAGTTGTTCCTTAATCCGCGTAGAAGGAAAAATGTTAATCGGATTGTTCACGTATCTAAAGTCAATCTGCATTGTTCAATGAAGTTTAATAAATATAGCTGTGTAAATTATTCAATTTAAAATTTAATATACATATTTTTGAGTCTGATTCATCTAATTGAATGATCTCGTCCATGTAAATGTTGCAATCACAAACCAGGCATGATGTGACCTTTCTTGGCATTCGAATTTGGTATTTATTAATGCACACGTTTGCCATTGAACATCTTTAATCGTGTCGTAAGTGTTTAATATGCTTTTGACACATTTCTCAAAACAACGTTTCACGATTCTACGATTACATAGAAATGAAAATTTTTCAATACCCTATATATCGTCGCTGACATTGGCTTAAAAACCAATCGCCCACGTGTCACGGATAAATTATCAAACTTTACCATTATAATACCGCAAAAATGATTACTTAAAAATAATCCATCTCGATCGATTCAATAACGTATTCCTTTTTGCATCCCAAAAATAAACATATTTTCATGGATGATAATAATAATGATTGATAGCGTCGCGTCCACTTTGAGACAATATAACGACTCGGTTTTTCCAGGCGTCTGTTTAGGTCAGAGAAAACGGAATATTAACAGTCTAGGCCTGGTTGGACGCGCATTTACGTACGTTAAACGCCTTTTATCACGCTAATACGCAAAACAGTTTTTCCTTTTAGGTCATCCATTTCGTTTATCTTTCTCAAATTTTTAATTTCGTAGCAAGTAATGGTATCGCTCTCACCCTTGTTATGTACATATATTTTTTCTTCCTCTTGAGTAAATCCTTTCTTCGATATTATTAGAATTTCTATCGAAACGTGAAACTCCGCAATTTATTTCCCATTGTTTCTTCCCGTATTAGTAACAACCGGAAGAATTCTCCGATCATCAAGTTTCTCATAACATCGCTTTACACATTACTCCCACGCGTCACTTCGACTCTGAACGAAGGGAAAAATATACGGCGATGAATATTCGATGAAAAATGTCATTTGCATGATTTTATTGTGTGAACATCTGGATTAGCATTGTCGTTAATCGATTTTCTATTTATACATTGCACATTAATGAACAGCAGGATCTTTCCTATCGGCATTATTGATTGTCGCGGCGAAATTGACGCGTGGATAAAACCATGTTTCATCGAACAGGCATGCTCCAGTGAAGACGAACGTCCCATAGTTCCGGCGGTGGTCCGTAGAAATCAATTGTTCTCCACGAATTTTCCGGTGTATGCGTAATTAATCATGTGGCCATGGGAATTTTGGTGATATTCGATTCTCGACACGTAGCAAGAGCCGCGTCCAATTTTGGCGACTGACGATCGGAGGAAATCGATGATTTCTGACCGGACACTCGCCTTGGCCTTTCATTGCCTTTTTTGACTTTCTAGTAAGAGTTTGGCGAATCAGGAATTGTGGTAACAAACGAAGAAAAGGTGATTTCATGTGCAAAATCAAAACAAATATGAAAAATGAAAATTGAATCTTTGTCAAGATTCGTTACACATACATACATGCAACTGTTGATTATCTTTATTCATATTAATGTTTATAGGTTAGGTTAGGTTATTGCTTGAAAATAGAAAATTGTAGTAAAATGTGTTAATGATATTTATTAAAAAGATATAAATATCTATG